GTCTTCAAAAATTAGGTTTCCATTTTGAATGATCAGTTTGGTAATTGTGTAGGACAGCATATACTGAATTAAAATACAGCAATAGAAGATCTGTATACCCTTCCTATGACAGGTGAGAAGTGATAATACTAGAATTTAAAGATGGCTAGGTACTGGGGGAGGAGAGGAAGGAATGAAAAGGTGAAATATTTTTTCAGTAATATCAGTAGGACTCAGTAATGATGTTATGTATGAGGTGAGGGAAACAGAGTCAAGAAAGATGCATGTTATTTTGAATATGAACACAGGAAAAGTAGCAAATAGAGGCAAAATAAAATGCATTTAGTTCATATTTTATTATAATGTGTCTTCAAAGAGTCAGAAAACCCAGTAACCTACTTTGATAAATGGACTGAGATGAGAAGAAAAATTTTAGATAAAGTTCAGATTTATTCATTTTTACATAAGCCACTAGGAGTGATGAGTGAGAGTAATGAGACACTAAAACTTAATAACAAGCAAAGGAGTCTGAAAAGATCTGGCAGGGCATACAAAGAAAAAAGCTGGGAGACCTTGGTATTATTAAAGCAAACACATGATTATATTTTAGCTATAAAAGGGCCAAGAAAATCACCAGTGGGTTTTGGGGAGGAAAGTTAATATGACACACACACTGAGAGAGGAGGAGGACTAGGAGGGATGAGTCTTGGTTATGAGGGAAGAGTCTGCTTCTCTGCCCTTGAACTTGTAGAAGTCATATTCTCTCTATGTCACCTTTCCCACGCTGTGTTTGTGTCCAAATTTCCCCCTGTTCAAAAGACCATGATTGTAGGATTAGGGGACTGCCTCTACTAACATGACTTCATCCTAATAATTAATTTCTTCTGCAATCAGCGGTGGTATAATATGATTCAAAACATGAAAGGTGGAAAGGAAACACTTCTTTCAGTGGGACAGGACTAAAAAAGCAAAGAGGACTTGGTCAATCTGAAAACTTTAGGAGGGGAAATTTAAGAGATCCTCGCTGAACTTTGTTTTCTCCAAAGTTTTAGAATCTTCTCTTTCCTTTAAGTTTTCTAAGAGAGATGTGAAAGGGACATTGCACAGAATGAGTGAGAAGGCAGTCTCGGGAGAATGTCAGACTGTCCCAAGAGCCACCCGGGAATCAACTTATATAAGAGGAGAGAATCAATTATTTAGAGGTGCCTTTCAGATCAATTTTAAAGCCTTTGTATAATAATGCAGGGTGCCATCAAAAGTGTTACTTTAGTTACACGCCTGTCTCCCTAACAGGCGTGGTGTTAAGTTTGGTTGCTGTGGTTTGGGTGTCCTGCTCTCAGAGTTGGCTCTGTGCTTTGGGTATACAGATTTACCATCCCTCTACGTGCTGGTGGGCTGGAGCGATAGCACAGCGGGTAGGGCGTTTGCTTTGCATGCAGCCAACATGGCCGACCAGAGTTCGATTCCTCCGCCCCTCTCGGAGAGCCCGGCAAGCTACCGAGAGTATTCGATATGCCAAACACAGTAACAACAAAGTCTCCAATGGAGACGTTACTGGGCCCGCTCGAGCAAATCGATGATCAACGGGAGGGCCTTTACCTTTACCTTTACCTAGTTTATAATGACTTAAAACCATATGTGTTCCTAAGCCATCAAGAACTAGTCTTCAACTCAAACTCAAACTTCAAGTCTTATTTTTTATTTCTTGGCTTGGGATAACACACCCAGTGCGCAGGGATAACTCCTGGCTCCATACTCAGGGATTACTCCTAGTAGTGCCCAAGGGACCATCAGTGATGCAGGGAATCAAACCTAGGTCAGCTGTGTGCAAGGTAACAACCTTACCCTCTGTATTACCTCTCTGACCACTTTTTAAGTTTTTTTTATGTATTTCAATGTAGAAAAAGTCACAGGTTGGTGCAATTCTAGAATTAAAATTGGTTAGAGAGCACAGCTTCAATATTAAAATCAGTAAGTATAAAAAATCAATTTATGTGAAAATTGTTATTGCTGATTGTAGGGTTGTTAAGTTCTTGTCTAAGAATTTATTAAAATGTTTTTTGCTAGTTGAGTGTCTCTTTAGAGAATATTCATGAAGCAGTAGGGTTGAGTCTTTGACATGGTTGCAGTGGTGGGATTTGGGTGTGGCTGTCAGGGCTTCAGCTGGCAGTATTCAGCCTGCCTGTCTCCTGAAAATACCCCAGGATTTTCAGCTGAGGAGACGTGTTTCTATGAATTTTAGTGCTTGGCATGCATCTCCTGGGAGATTTATTGGGGAATCGGTAGAGCAAGGCTGATAGGTGAGTCAACATGGCAGTGGCTGTGTCTCTGATGTCTATTGAAGTATTTATTATAACCTGTTTCCTCCACTAGACTGCGACCTAGAGAAAGGATTTGCCTAATAGAAAGTTCCATTACTAAATATCCACTAATATTGGTAATACCATGGATGTAGCCAGTATTAAGTGATCTTTATAGAATTAAACATTGCAGAGTAGGAGTTCAGCCTCTATGTCCTTACGGTGGCAATTTTTCTTTAAGAATCTTCATGCATAATTATGAAATTGATGAATAAAAACATGTCTGGTTAGTTTTGAGCCTCTTAAAGAAATGTAATCATATTTCCAATCACATAACAGATCAGTTTAACAGGGTATTTTATACCACTTGTATACACAACGGAATACTACTCAGATATAACAAAAAAATGAAGTCATGTGAGATGCTGCCAAGTGCATAGAACTAGAGAGACTCATGCTGAGAGAAATCACTCAGAAGGACAGATACTGAATGATGTCTCTCAGGTGTGGGACATAAAGAAAATGTAGGAGAATAACAAATGGTCTAAGACAGCAGAGCCAGATAACTGGTCTTTGGAATTGAGTTTTCCAAGGGTGGAGAAGGCTCTGAGACAATGAGAGAGGGAAATGAGGTAGAATACTGCCTGCAAGAAATGCTATCGTGAACAGTACTGTAAATCACGGTGCTTTAAACAAAAAACAGAAAAAAGTTTACCCTCAGTAAACAGTGAAGAGTAGACTTTTAAAAATTATATCAGTGACTTAATAAAGTTGCTAATATGGCCACCATCCTCCAGAGGCCACTGAACAGTCAGGTTTGGGCTCTCAGTGATGAGACACGCCGGGCCTCTTGGGATGGGGGTGGAGCTGGCCTTTTCCTCCCCGTCCCAACGAGACCCCAAGTCGCTGCCCATGAATGGCCTTTCTGGCTCCTGATCAAGCTGCTTAATAGACATGATCCCAGAAACTCAGGAGCAAATCTCAGAACCCAGCAGGTTTTGGCAGAAATCCCTCCAGATTTAAGTGTTAAAATTTCGGAATTTCGAAATCGCGCAGCCACTACTGTAGCACGTGACATCATATGTTATTCATAACAGGCAATAGAAAACAAATTGTCTACTGTTCCCTTTTCAGCAGATCTGAGTGTTGGGGTAAGGTAAAGGCCCTCCCGTTGATCGTCGATTTGCTCGAGCAGACCCGGTAACGTCTCCATTGGAGACTTTGTTGTTACTGTGTCTGGCATATCGAATACTCTCGGCAGCTTGCCGGGCTCTCCGAGAGGGGCGGAGGAATCGAACTCGGGTCGGCCATATTGGCCGCTTGTAAGGCAAACGCCCTACCCGCTGTGCTGGGGTAAAATCTCTAATAATGGTGGGTCTGGTTGCCGCGTCCGGCGCTGCGGGGCCGAGCCAGGGAAGGCTGTCAAGGTGAAAGCAACACTCGAGACACACAGGGCTCCGTCATGCAGGAGATGGTGAAGGATCTGTTTATTGTTTCACACCACAGTATTTATCCCGCCTCCAAGTCAGGCAGGAAAGGGGAAGGGGCAAGCAGGGGCGTGGGATGAGTCACATACTGTCAGTCGACTGATAGCCCCCCAGCCCTCGTAACCTTTACATGTGTCTCAATGTAGTGGCTGCCACATCAGTTTTAGACATAACCATAGAGGACATGCTAAACCGAGGGTATGCTCTAGATAAACATTTACAAGCTGGGATATTTCCCAAAACTGAGGCCGTACTGTTGATATCAAGAGGTTGCCCATAATGTGAGTGTGGGGGAGGCAGCAGATCAGGCATCCATTTTGTGCCAGGAGGCAACATCTGGTGTCAAGATATTGAATGTGATCAAAGTAGAGAGAAAGTAATGTGGAAATCATCTGCCCCACAGGTAGGGAGAGGGTGTGGGATGGGGGGTATACTGGGGTTGTTGGGGGTGGAGAATGGGCACTGGTGAAGGTACGCTTGTTTTATTGTACGACCGAGACTTAGACCCCAAAGCTTTGTAACTGTTCTCACGGTGATTCAATAAATAAAATTATAAGGAAAAGTAAAGTAAAGGCCCTCCCGTTGATCATCGATTTGCTCGAGCGTGTCCAGTAACGTCTCCATTGGAGACTTTGTTGTTACTGTGTCTGGCATATCGAATACTCTCGGTAGCTTGCCAGGCTCTCTGAGAGGGGCGGAGGAATCGAACTCGGGTCGGCCATGTTGGCTGCGTGCAAGGCAGACGCCCTACCCGCTGTGCTATAGCTCCTATAACAAATGAAAAAAAAGTAAGGTGGAATTCATGCCCAATTCAATCAGCTAATCAGTGACTGAATAAATAGCAGCACTCCTACATAAAAATAAATAAATAAATAAATAAAGTTGATAATATATTTTCTCCATTTATGGAGTAAAGGTAAAGGTAAAAGGTAAAGGTAAAGGCCCTCCCGTTGATCGTCGATTTGCTCGAGCGGGCCCAGTAACGTCTCCATTGGAGACTTTGTTGTTACTGTGTCTGGCATATCGAATACTCTCGGTAGCTTGCCGGGCTCTCCGAGAGGGGTGGAGGAATCGAACTCGGGTTGGCCATGTTGGCCGCGTGTAAGGCGAACGCCCTACCCGCCGTGCTATCGCTCCATAACTATTTATGAACAAATAATTATATATTTCATCAAAGTTTTAATATATCACTGAATAGAAAAATAAACATAACACTATTTTTTTCTTTCCCCAGAGTGATTGTGTACTTAGTTTTTTCCTGTCTGATCCTGTGCAACAAACAACTGAAGAATCAACACTTATGGATCTAGGCAAGTAATTTCATGGACAAAAATTTCAATATACATTTTCATACAAGGTAAAGGTAAAAAGGTAAAGTCCCTCCCGTTGATCGTCGATTTGTTCGAGCGGGCCCAGTAACGTCTCCATTGGAGACTTTGTTGTTACTGTGTCTGGCATATCGAATACTCTCGGTAGCTTGCCGGGCTCTCCGAGAGGGGCGGAGGAATCGAACTCGGGTCGGCCATGTTGGCTGCTTGTAAGGCGAACGCCCTACCCGCTATTTTCATACAAAAACATTAAAATGACATTTTTCAATTTTTACATCAAAATTTCTTTTTGAAGGCTTAAGTTTGGGGATTAGACATAGAATAGGGCCTTCAAGTTAAATTAAAATCAGAAGTTATTTTTCCAATTATAACAACTACATGATGTTCGCTCTTAGCACATTTAACTAGGCATGAATTAAAATGGAATTTCATGTCAGAGACAAGGTCCCTATTTTCTTATACAAATGTCTTGCAGTTTGCTTAACATCTTAGGAAGCAACAAAAGTAAATATTGAACAGCAATAAAGATTGTGAACTACCTAACAATTTCACTCTTATTTGTTGCTACGTAGTCATTACTCCATCTCCCTTTCATCACCAAGATCCTAAACTAGCCCAGAATAATTATCAACCCTATTTTCTGCCAAGCGTATTCATTCTGATTACGTTTTATGTCATCTTCTTGACTGCCAGACCCTTCTTTTACAAATGTTCTATCTGTTGGTTTAAGCATTCATAAAGTAATTCTATTTCCATTCAGCATTGATGCTGTTCTTGCCAAAAATGTGTAAGTTTGTCATGTGCTACGTCTCCCATACATATATTTGTGTGTGGGAGGGGGGAGTGTAATTCAGTATTCATTTCATCCACATACAACTTTAGATTCTATAAGTATGGGCCCAACTGCTTATCATTTCATTCATTTCATTTCATTTCATCATCCTGTTATTCGTCGATTGCCTCAAGCAGGCCCCAGTAACGTCTCCTTCATCCTAGCCCTGAGATTATATTCAAGGCTCTTTAGGAGAATGAGACCCATCATTGTTACTGGTATTTGGCATATTGGGTATGCCATGGGGAGTTTGCCAGACTCTGCCATGTGGGCAGGCTACATTCGATAGCCTGCAAGTTTGTCCAAAGTAGGAATGAGATAGTAAGATGTCATAAAAGATGTCTTGCATCTTTTTATCTGCTTTTTATCTGCTTTTTATCTTTTTTATCTGCATCTGCTTATCATCTTTGCATTTTTCTGACATTCTTTCAGAAGCATGGATTGTGGATTTTTGTTTTGTTTTGTTTTGTTTTTTACTTTCACTTCATTGGCTTACTCCTAGCTCTGTGCTCTGGGGTCATTCCTGGCAGTGCTCAGGAGACCATATTGTCAGTCATGTGAGAGGCAAACCCTTAACTAACTGCTATACTATCTCTTGGGCCCTCGGTTTATGGTTTTACAGAAGCAGATCATGTCATTTCACACAATTGCTTGTTAAATTGTCCGTTTATGTGTGCCTTGATTTCCTGTTAGACTGGAAGTAACTTAAACTTTCAAAGACTGACTTCTCCCTCCTACATGTTGCTGAGTTAATGTGTGATGACTGACCCTTCTCATCCCTCATATTTTACTCATGTATACAATGACCCAATTAATAATGATTTCTACTGCTGGGTCTGGGAGATAGTAATATTCCTTTGCCTTTACTCACTAATTATAGACACCATGGTAAAATAAGAATGATATGTTTAGGTGCTAAGCCAATGATCTCTCTCCTATACACAGCATTTTCCTTTTTATCCCATTTTCCCTTTGGCAGGGCCAGCTTCATGGACTTGTAGGTCCCTGCAGTTCCACACAGCATAGCACTGACAAAGGTCCTCCATCTGGTTTAATATTCTGCTGTCACTTCCTGAAATTGTTTTGCCTTTGGGTTTTTGAGCTACACCCAGCAGTGTTCAAAGGCTTTTCCTGGTTCTGTACTCAGGAGTCCTTCCTGATGAAGCTCAGAGGACCATATGTGGTACTAGGGATCAAACTGGGTTGGTCGTATGCAATACAAGCAGTCTTTACTATCTCTCCTATCCCTGTCGTGAAGTTCTTGACAATTTCTGAAAATGGGAATCCATCCTTCCTTCCTTCCTTCCTTCCTTCCTTCCTTCCTTCCTTCCTTCCTTCCTTCCTTCCTCCCTCCCTCCTTCCTCCCTTCGTTCCTCCCTTCCTTCTTTCTTCTGTCCCTATAATTTCCTTTTCCCTTCCCTTCCCTTCCCTTCCCTTCCCTTCCCTTCCCTTCCCTTCCCTTCCCTTCCCTTCCCTTCCCTTCCCTTCCCTTCCCTTCCCTTCCCTTCCCTTCCCTTCCCTCCCCTCCCCTCCCCTCCCCTTCCCTTCCCTTCCCTTCCCTTTCTTTCTCTTTCCTTCCCCTCCCCTCCCCTTTTCTCCCTCCCCTCCCTTCCCTTATCTCCCCCCCTTCCCTTCTCTTTGTAATGAAATGGTTATTCCTAATATTGGGACAAAGATCAACACTGCCATGATGGCATAGCCATTGAGTCTACTGCCTCCAATTTCCTTTTCCAGGCTAATACCAGGCCATTTCCTATCTTCCTTTTTTCCTATTCCTCAACTAACCCTTGCAGCATCTCATAGAAACAATCTTCTGAACACTTGATTCCAAGTCTAACTTCTCCATTCTTTTTTTTTCACACCATTTAGCTCACATCTAAATATTCTTTGCCACATACTCTCTCCATATTTTCCCAATAAATTCATTACAATGATGATTAGATCTCATGTGCTTTGTTTGTAGAGAAGCAATCTATGTCTGTGTGTTTACATTGTATCTCCCAGATCTGGTATAGTATCCGGCTTATTCTAAGAGCTTCAAAACTAACCATCAAATGACAAAAATGGAAAAAGGGGGGTGGGCACACACTGACATTCTCTATCAAGGTAGCTTGCTATGTTTATTTGGGGTGGAAAGGTAAAGAGGAAGGAAAAGGCAACTGAAAATCATGCTACTTCTCTCACACTCAATACTGCCATGGAAATGCTCTCACACAAGCCTCCAAATCACTAGAATTCCCTTGATGTATTGCCTAAATCAAAATCTTGTACAAATAATCATATTAAATATTTTGGATACCAGACTCAGTCGAGGCACTAAACAGAAAATCTCTGAAAATTATCTTGAATACTCTTTAATTCTCTAATTATATGATCTTCCAAATTTCCCCAAAAATTGTATATATAGTTTCCATGCCAAATAATATGTCCACACAATGTAATTAACCACCCTTCAGCACTATACAATTTTGACATAGAGAAGACAGATTTTTGTCTAGGTGCAGAAATAACCTAGGTAATGGAGTAGAACGTGATCAGGACAACAACTGTCAGGGTTAAGAGGATGAATTAATGAGCATGTTTAGAAACCATTGATAATTGCAACTGATTGCAAACCTAAGTTTTCAATCATTACCTCACATCGCTACCTCCCATTTGAGATGCTAATTGAAAAGGAGCTTGAAGCCATGCAGTCTTCATGGCAGGGCCTCTGGTTAATGTTCTAGCTATTTGTTCTGGAAGAGTCACATCAATTATCTGTAGGTTGGACTACGTTATTCAAGTTTCCAACTTAAAATTTAATGACATAGAAGGACAAGAAGTAAAAGGTTGGTACTACTTAAATACTCTTTTTTTTTTCATTTTTGCTCTATACCTAAGCTGTGCTCAGGGTTTATCCCTGGTTCTATGCTCAGAAATCATTCCTGGCAGTGCTCAGGGGACTTTATGTGGCACCTGGAATTGACCTGGGTCAGATTCATGCAAGGCAAGTGACTTGTTCACTACTATCTTTAGCTTAGAGGTAAAAACATTTTATAAGTAATTTGTGCTTGGAAATTTCAGTTGAAACCTTTAAAATGTTATAACTAATTACATGGGGTTTTTTGTGTTTTTTTTTTTTTAATTTGGGGTCCACACCTGGTGCTGTTCAGGGTTTATTCCTGGCTTTATTACTCAAGAATTACTCCTGGCAGTGTTCAAGGAACCATACATGATGCTGGGTATCGAACCAGGGTCAGTGGCAAGCAAGGAAAGCACCTTGCCCACTGTATTATCATTTCAGTTCCTCATGATTGTTGTTTTTTAAAATATGATTTATTTTAGACTTTCACTTTTGGCTGATGAAAATGATGGAGAAGAAAAGAAAGACTTTCTTTAATGATGTCATATCTACACGTGTCAAATAGATGTGAATTTATTTGAAATCTAACAAACCAAGCAATAAGTAAACCTAAGTTTATGTAATATTAGTAAAACATTAAGAAAGATCACAACATTGAACATAGTTAGATGGCAGATGAAAGGAAAGTGAGAACAATTATGCATACTAAATTTTTATCTCTAGAAAACAAATACTGTCAACAGAAATAAAAGTTAAATGATTTTAAATAAAGTAGCAAGTGCAACAAAAATAAAAGTTTCCCCAGGTATCACAATACATATATTTTTTAAATTATTTAAAGGCTCTCGTTAAAATCATAAAAATGCTATATTCCTTCAATAACATAAAGCAATATGAACAAAGAAAGACTATAATCTATATCAATAAACATAAAGAGAATTAAATAATTTATAAAGAGAAATGTTTTTGGAGAGAAACATATAAAAGAAAAGGTGATTTTAGAAAATTAAAAATTTAAACATAGGCACAGTCATATATTTCAAATCTAAGAACACAGAAACCAGAGGTCACAGTGATATAAAGAGGTGAAACTAAGAGAAAGAACTATTAGATTAAACAAAATCAGAGCCTTAAACTATGCATAAAATTCTCAATAGAGAAACAAACAGTTGTGAACATAGATAAAACCTATGATAGCATACATAAAGTAGAAATTATAGAACATAAAAAATGCAAAAATCACATTAGTAAAAAAATATTCTAATTTGCTTTTTGAAAAGCAAATGGAAAAGACAGTTCTCACTTAGC